TGTTGTCCATAGCGTGGCATGATCCATACAATCAAAAGCCTTTGCGTAGTCAATAAAGCACAGGTAAACATCTTTCTGATATTCTCTGCTTTCAGCCAAGATCCACTTGATATCAACAATGATATCCCTCGTTCCATAGCCTCTTCTGAATCCAACTTGAACCTCTAGAAGTTCTCTGTCAATGTATGGTTGCAACTGTTTCTGTATTACCTTGAGTAAAACTTTACTCACATGGCTATCAAAGAGATTGTCCAATGATTTCCACATTCCGTTGGGTCACCTCTCTTTGGAATGGGTACAAATATGGATCTCTACCAAATAGTCGGCCAGATAGTTGTCTACGAAATTTTTTGGCAGAGATGAGGGAGTGCCTTCTGTGCCGCCTCACTTTCTTGAAAGATTTCAATTTTTATTCCATCAGTTCCTGGTGCATTGTTCTTTGCCAGTTCCTTCATTGCACCTTGGAATTCCTCATTCAGTATCATTGACTCTTGATCATATGCTACCTCTTGAAATAGTTGAACATCATCCATTTCCTTTTGGTACAGTGTTCCTTGCATCGTCTCTTGATGCGTTCTGCATCATTCAATAATTTGCCCAGAGAATCTTTCAGTAACGAAAGTCCAGGCTTGAATTTTTTCTTCAGTTCCCCCCAGCTTGAAAAATGCTGAGCGTGTTACTCCTTTTTGGTTTTCTGATTCCAGATCTTTGCACATTTTGTTGTAATATTTGGCTTTATCTTCTCGAGTTGATCTGTGAAATTTTCTGTTCAGCTCTAGGACCTCCTCATTTCTTCCATTTGCTTTGGCATCTTTACACTGGAGAGCAAATTTCAGTGTCTCTTCTGACATCCATTTTGACCTTTTCTTTCTTTCTTGTCTTCTCAGTGACTTTTTGCTTTCTTAATGTATGATGCTCTTGATGTAATCCCATAACTCTTCTTGTCTTCAGTCTTTAGTGTTTAATGTATTAAATCTGTTCTTCAGATGATCTCTAAATTCAGGTAGGATATATTCAAGGTCATATTTTGGCTCTCGTGGACTTGTTTTCATTTTCTTCAGCTTCAGTTTGAATTTGCATATGAGTAATTGATGATCTGTTTCACAGTCTGCCCTTGACGTTTTTTTCACTGATGATATGGAGCTTTTTCAGTCTCTTTTTGCAGATATAGTCAATTTGATTTCTATGTATTCCATCTGCTGAGGTCCATGTGTATAGTCGTCTCTTATGCTGTCTAAAGAAGGTATTTAAATTGAACAAATCATTGATTTTGCAGAATTCTAACATGCGTTCTCTAGCATCATTTATATCACCAAGGCCATATTTTCTAACTACTGATCCTTCCTCTTTGCTCCCAACCTTTGCATTCCAGTCACCAGTAATGATCAACACATCTTGATTGCATGTTTGATCAATTTCAAATTGAAGAAATTGGTAGAATTCTTCTCTTTCATCCTCACTGGCTTTAATGGTTGGTGTATAAATTTGAATATTAGTAGTATTAACTGGGCTTCCCTGTAGGCACATGTATATTATCCTATCACAGACAACGTTGTACCGCATGACTAATCTGCATATGTTCTTTTTGACAATGAATGCCATACCAGTCCTTTTCAGCTCACTAATGCCTACGATATCTATCCTTATGCGTTCCATTTCAGTTTTGACAACTTCCAGTTTTCCCAGAATCATATTTCATACATTCCATGTTCCGATTTTCAATGGATGTTTACAGCTGTTTCTCTTCATTTTGAGTTGTGCCCCATCAGCAAATGAAGGTCCCATGGGCCTTTCTCCCACAGGCTTTACTCCATTTGTGTCATCATGGTCAACTCTACTTTGAGGAGGCAGCTCTTCCCCAGTGGCATTTTGAGTGCCTTCCAACCTGAGGGGCTCATTTTCTGACACTATATCTGACAGTGTTTCTCTGCTATTCGTAAGGTTTTCAGTGACTGAATATTCGGAAGTAGTTCATCACTCCTTCTTCCTAGTCTATCTTTGTCTGGAAGCTCATCTGAAACTTGTCCACCATTGGTGACCCTGCTGGTATTTAAAATACCGGTGGCATAGCTTTCAGAATCACAGCAACTCACAAGCCACCATAGTACAACAAACTGACAGATGCATCGTGGGCAAAAGTAGTAGAATTGGAAAATATAGTAAAAAAAGTAAATATGATACATTAGATACATTATCTCATTCTTTTGCCTCTTTTGTATGTCTGAAATTTTTTAAATAGCATTTTCTATTTTTAGAGTAAATGTGATGTGTTTAAGGAGTGTATAAACCTGACTGAAGCCAAGGATTTGTATTGGGAAATAGTGGGCATACGGTTGAAAAGCAGGTTCAGATTATAGAGCTAGAGTTAGACTTTTTTTTTTTTTTAATGACTGTTATCTTGAAATCAGTATTTTCATAAAGATTAATTTGGTGGTGATATAAGAGGTTGAATTGCACAAAATAGAAATGGAAGAAATTAGAAAAGTCTGCTTGTGGTTGTTGAAGTATTAGATGATAAGAACATAAAGTGTGAAAATGACAGTTGATCTACCAGATGACCAAAGCCAAAAAAAAATAAAAAGGACAAGTTTTGCTGTTTATTCAAATATGTTGTTTTAGTAAAGTGTTGCTGAGTCAGTTCCAAATCATAGTAACCCTGTATAAGACGAGTTCGAACTTCCCACCTGTGGTTCACACTCTAGTGCTGATCCTACCGCACCACAACAGGGGTCCTTTTAGGGTATTGTCGTTGTTAAGTACCCTTGAGTGGATTCCTACTCATAGTGACCCTGTATAGGGTTTTTGAGGAGCAACTGGTGAATTTCAACCATCAACATTGAGGTTCAAACCAACCTTGCAGTCCAGCGCATTAACTCACAGCGCCACACCCAGGCTCCCAGCCATCACATTAAGGGTTTTATTCACCATTTTTTTGTGTATTATCTTTGATCATGATATGTCTTTTATAATTAATGTTTGTTTTTAGGTTTCAGTAATTTTTTATTTACTATTTAGACATTTATTAACATTAATCTGCAAAACAATAGAATGACTTCTGATTTTTAAAATTTCAACAAATGAATTTATTTCTTATGCAAATCGCCTACCCTTTTAGTTTTTGAAGAAAAAGTTGTCTTTCTCTCCTAGGTGAATCCTTTCGTTTAAGCTCTAGATCAGGGGTGGGAACCCTTTTTCTGACAATATTTATAACATCATTTGCAGGCCATGCAAAATTATCAACTTAAAAATTAGCCTGCTATATTTGGTCAGTCAATTAACTCACCCATAATGTAATGGCTGGAGTCCTTGTGTGGCACTGCAGTTTAATGCTCTGGACTGTAAAAGTTGGTTTGAACCACAAACTCAGCAATTCAAGTTCAGGCTGTTCCTTGTAAACCCTAAATAGGGTCGCTATGGATCAGAACCAACTCAACGGCAGTTAACAACAACAATGTGATGGCTGAGCTAATTAAGTGTTATAAATGCACAGCTAGCAATGTTCCAACCAGTGTTTAATTTTAAAATTTTGCCTCTCTAGTGTTTTGTTCTGTTATGCATAGGGTCACAATGAGTCAGTACCAACTTGATGGCATCTAACAACAGCAAGTTTCCTACTAGACCTACAACATGAATGATTTTGTTTTCTTTTTTATTTTAAGAGTATAGAAAATGTAGCATCGTCCATACTTGGAAAGTCTGTCTTTGTTAATTGGCCTCATCTTGAAGAAGCTCGAGTTGTAGCTGCATCAGATGGAGAAACTAAGTAAGATTTCATTTACAATATTTTGGCTCATATTTGCTGTGCTACTTGATGGCTTTTATTGATTCATGTTTTTTACTGATATAATTATTATTTTTACAAATGTACCCTCTAGTAAAAATGTAAGCCTTGTCATTCCACAATTTAGAGTTCAACAGCTATTGATAATTTTTTACAACCTTTGAGATAATTAGATTTTTTTATTGTTGAAAACAAGTATATAACACAACACTACTACTTAAACATTTTCTACAAATACAATTTAGTGATGTCAATTACATTAATCTTGATGTGCAACCCTCACCAAAAATCATTGCTAAATTTTCTATTAGCATAAACAGTAACTTACTGTTTACTAATCATTTATTCCCCTTTTTCCCTGCCTCCCACCTCTAATAAATTTTGATCTCTGTCCATTTGTGTACTCTAGATATATCATATAACTGAGATAAAATTCGTCATTCTATGATTTATTTACTTCACACAGCATAAGGTTTTCAAAGTTCATCTATGTTATAGCTTGTATCAGGACTTGTTAAATGCCATTGAGTCAGTACCAACTCACAGCAACCTAACGCACAACAGAATGAAACATTGTCCAGTCCTGTTCCAGTCCATCTCATTGGGGATCGTTCTCTTTTTCGCTGACTTACCACTTTGCCAAGTGTGATGTTCTTCCCCAGGGACTGGTCCCTCCTGATAATATGTTTGAAGTGTGAGAGATGAAGTCTGGCCATCCTGGCTTCTATGGAGCATTCTGGCTGTACTTCTTCCAACACAGATTTGTTTGTTTGTTCTGGCCATCCATGGAGCTTTTAATAGTCTTCTCCATTACCATAACTCAAATGCATCTGTTCTTCTATGGTCTTCTGTATTCATTGTTCGACTCCCATATACATATGAGGCTACTAAAATATTGTGGCTTGGATCAGGTGCACCTTAGTCTGCCAACTGACATCTTTGCTCTTGAACACTTTAAAGAGTCTTGTGCAACAGATTTGCTTAATACAATACATCGTTTGATTTCTTGATTGCTGCTTCCATGAGTATTGATGGTTAATGCGAAGAAAATGAAGACTTTGACAACTTCAATCTTTTCTACATTAATTGTGTTATATAGTGGTCCAGTGGTGAGGGTTTTTGTTTTCTTTACAATTGAAGACCATACCAAAGGCTGTGGTCTTTGATCTCCATCAGTAAGTATTTTAGGTCCTTTTCACTTTCAGCAAGCAGTGTTGTATCATCTGCATATCCCAGGATTTATTTCTCTTTATGACTAAGTGCCGGGAGCCGGCCCCAGCAAACTTATTCCAGGGTTTCCCGAAGGTTGATGCAGACGTCGGCGGAAAGAATTACACATAGTCGATAAATCATGATGAATTCAAAATCTTCTTATTACATGCTTTATTCTTCTCTCATTCTTTACTGTCCTGCTCATTCTTTACTCCGTTGCTCTCCTGCTCATCTCTCCTGCTTCTTTACTCTCTCCTCCCCTGCTCCTGCTTTCCTCTTCTGCTCCTTTACTCTCTCCTCCCTCTCCTGCTTTCATTCTTCTCCATTCTTTTCTCTCCCCTCCTGCTTTTCCCCTCTATTCTTCTTCCTACATGCTATAGTATCCTCCTTCTTCCTTCTTTAATCTCCTTCCATTACTTTACTCCCCCCTCCTGCTTTCCCTCTCTATTCTTCTTCTTACATGCTATTTTATCCTTCCTCTTATTCCTTCTTCTTCTCCTCTACCCACCTCTACTTACTTATTCTATCTTACATGCTTTATTATCCTTCTTCTCCTTCCTTCTTCTTCACTACTCCCCTTATTCTATCTTACAACCCCCTTGTATACCGTTACAAAAAACATTGTTTTCATAGTAATCAGTGTCCTCAAAATACAATCTATTCTGGGGCACATTCTTCATGGTTTACGACCCTTAGATTTACAACAGGGATGAGATGTTACATCAACACATACGAGAGACATTCTGGCGCCTTTAAACCTTTTAGTTAAAACATTTGTTCATACATAAATAACTTCTTTTCTATGAGAAGCAAGTTAACCTTCACATATGTTTCTTAACCTTTGTCTCTTAAGTCTTGTTAATTTTAGTTGTTGGGTGCAATTAACTCTCCATTAACTTCTTCCATACACTATCTATTTATAGCCTACAAAAACATCACTTATCAAAACATTTTAAAAACTGAGGCTATGAAAAACAACTTCTCTATTTTACTGATCATTAATTTAAGAACGTCTAAGTCAGACTTTTAATTTAGTATCTGTGTATACCCATAGCCTTTATTTATGGTCTAATTGCTTTTAAGGATTCTTTATTGCCTTAAACTAAGGCTACAAGGAAGAATGTTTATAATCACTAAGCCTAAGCTGGTAGTAATTCAATTGACAAGTCCTGTCTCCTAGCAATCTTAAGAACATTGTTAATATAAGTATTAAAACTACCTATGATTACAAGTAGAATAAAATGTAGCTAATATATGGCTTCTACCTTTTAATAAAAATATACTAAAGTGTGGGAGAGTCAAAATCTAAAGTAAAGGGATACTAATAAAATCATGAATAAATCAGAGAATGATTCAACAAGAGAAAAATTAACTAGGGGCCTGTGCATAGAATATTTCTTCCTTGTAGCTCTGCTATCCAAGGAAAATACTTCATTGTTGCTTTGCTAAAACAATGAATTCTTCATGTGCAGGGTTCCCCGTGTCTCATTCTTTATTTCAATTCCTCGATTAATATGTCTCAATTTCTTCATTTTAATTAATTATTATGGCGCCTGCCAACTAAGTAAGAGTCCATTGTATGTATGTACCACAGTTTCTTTATCCATTCTTCTGTGGATAACATTTATATTGTTTTCACCTTTTGACTATTGTGACTAGGGCTACAATGATCATTGGTACGTAAGTGTGTGTATGTTGCTTTTTTGAAACCTTTTTAGTATATACCAAGAATTGGAATTGTACTCAGAAACTCCTTATGAGGAAAGAAATAACATTCTGCTCCTATAGAAATTATTGTTGTTGTAGTTAGGTGTTGTCAAGTCAGTTCAGTCTCAGCAATCTTACATCAAAAACAAAACACTTCCTCATTTTTTCCAATTGCTTTAGCTTCTCTATCCTCAAAAACAAGTTTCAGAGTGTCTGTGACATCCATTTTGATGTTTTCTTTCTGTCCTGTCTTTTTAATAACCTTTTGCTTTCTTCATGTATGATGTTCTTCATGTCATCCACAACTCTACTGGTTTTCAGTCATTAGTAGCTAATGCATCTTATCTGTTCTTGAGATGATTTCAAGATCAGGTGGGATGTATTTAAGGTCATATTTGGCTGTCTTAAACTTGGTTTAATTTTCTTCAACTGTAGCTTGAATTTGCATATGAGCAATTGATGGTTTGTTCCATGGATGGCCTTGATTTGGCTGATGATAATTGAGTTTCTCCATTGTCTCTTCCCATAGATGTAGTCAGTTTGATGCCTTTGTATTCATTCTGGTGAGGTCCACATGTATAGTCTCACCTGTTAACATTTTAAAATATATATATTTGCAAGTAACAAGTCAGTCTTGCAAAATTGTATCATGCAATCGCCAGCATCATTTCTATCACCAAGGTCATGCTTCCCAACTACTGATCCTTCCTCTTTGTTTTTAACATTCTCATTCCAATCACCAGTAATTACCAGTGCATCTTTGATCAATTTCAAACTGAAGAAGTTGGTTGAATTCTTCGTTTCGTCATCACCCACTTTAGTGGCTAGTGCATAAATTTGAATAATAGTTGTATTAACTGCTCTTCCATGTAGACATACGGATATTTATCAAGATAAATCTTTAAATATTCTTTTTGACAATGAATGGGATGCCATTCCTGTTTAATTTGTTTTTCTCAGCTTAGTAAACCATATGATTGTCAGATTCAAAATGCTCAACACCTGTTCATTTCAGTTCACTAATGTTCATTTCAGTTCAGTAATGCCTAAAACGGAGTCGTGGTATGGCGCTGTGGGTTAATGCGCTGAACTGCAAAGTCAGTTTGAGCCAAGATCGGTGGTTCAAGCTCACCAGCCACTCCTCAGAAACTTAATACAGAGTTGCTATGGGTCAGAACCAACTCGATGACATAACAATAACAACAATGCTTAGGATTCTGATTTTTATGTGTTCAATTTTATTTTGACAACTTCCAATTTTCCTAGAGTCACACTTCGTGCATTCCACATTCTGATTTTTAATGCATGTTTGCAGCCATTTCTTCCCATTTTGAGTTGTGCCACATCAGCTTTTCTTAGCTTTGCTCCATTCCACCTGTAAAGATTACAGCCTAGAAAGTCATATGGAATACAAAATGGTGAAATCATTATGGAAAACAGTTTGGCAGGTAAAACTACCGTTGTTATTGTTGTGGGCTGCTAAAACTCAACAACAACAATCAGTGAATAATGGTTTTAATTTCTCCACATCCTCACCAATACTTACGTTCATTGTTCATTTTTTCCATTTTTTATTGTTTCTCTTAAGCGCCATCAAGTTGATTCTGACTCATAGCAACCCAGTATAGGGTTTCTGAGGCTTTAAATCCTTACAGGAGCAGAAAACCTTGTATTTCTCCTTAGCAATCTTGTTGATGTTGTTATTAGTGACTCATTGTGACTCTATATAGGGTTTCTGAAATGTGGTTAGTAGTCCGGTATTTTTCCTACAGCACCATACCTGCACTCATTAGCCAACTTAGTGGTAATTACATGGTATCTCACTGTGGTTTTGAAATGCTCTCCTTAATGGCTAATGATGTTGAGCATCATATTATATGTGCTTTTTTGGCCATTTATGTGTCTTCTTTAGTAAAAGTCTATTCAGATCACCTGTCCTTTTTTTTTTTTTTTTTTATTGTGTTACCGTTTCTTGTTAAGTTGTGGTAGCTCTTTATATATTCTAAATTTTAAACCCTTATACAAGGTACTTCTAAAGTTCTTGGAGAAATTCTGCTATCTTT